ATCGCCGTCGTGTCTGTAGTGGTATTCGTATTCGTTATCGTAGTCGTGATCGTCAGCGTTGTCGCGGTCGTCGTTGTCGTTGATGTCGGCGGGTGCCGCGGAGAAACATTCGGTTTCACTACTGGTGTGCCCCCAGTCCGTCTATAAGGTTGCCGAACAGATGAGTAGTTTCCAACTATTGGGGTGGGGCTCTGGAGATCTATCGCGGCCATGTCTATAAATATATGTGTATACACATATGCAGATATAACAACTGCATGTACCTGTGTGCAAACACCTATTCATTTGCACATACATGCGCGCATAACATCATTGCACGCATGTGTGTGTATCTGTCTGCATGTACTCATAGCCACCTCCCCCCAGAGGTCGCAGGGCATCGCCTCCCAGGGCGGCGGACATGGACAGACACCCGCCTCGCGCCTCCTGCCCCGAGGGGGGATCCAACATACCATGCATAGAGGCCTGGGGAGCTCCGCGCGGCTCACGTGGGTCGGCGCCTGGCTCTCTGGCCTGGCGCTCCGGGAGGGGGGCCCCAGCGCCGATCCAGGCGATCCGCGCGGACCTTCGAGCGTTTTTGTCTATACCTTCGTTGCGAATTCTCCCACGGTGCCTCCGACGGCACAGGCGCCATCGCGTCGCGAAAAGAACACGGACGGTGGTGGGCAATTTTCTTCCTCACAGGGCCCCTTTCGTGCCCCCGGACCGTTTCAAAAACGACGCGGGATGAGATTCCGGTCCCGGGGAAGGGGTCCAGACCTCTGGGGGACCATGTTGTACACTCCACGACGTCGGCGAGGAAGGGAAGAGAAGGGAACGGGAGGAGGGAGGAAGGAGGAGGGAGCGAAAAGGGGGGCGAAGAAGGGAGGAGGGTGGAGGGAGGAGGGAGGAGGGAGGAGGGAAGAGCGGAGTGGAGAAGGGAAGAAGAGGGCGGGAGGAGGGAGCGAGAAAGGGGAGGCTTAAAGGGCCGGAGGGGGAGCGAGGGCTGGAGGGCATGAGAAGAGAAGATCGAGGAGCCAAACATCGGCGGATCGGAGCTTCGCGCGGATCTCTGGGATCGGCTCTGGGCCATCTGGCCTCGAACTATTAATTGGGTTTGCACTCTGCACGGGGGCCGGCTTCGGACCTCGGGACCCACACGAAACGACTCGGGATGACGAACCAGCCTTGGACAGAACCTAGAAAACATCGGGTCGCCGGATGTATGGGGACTCCTCTATCCCCGAGATCGTGGTGATGCATTTGCTTCACACTGGGTGCTTTCATTGAGTTTCGGAGATCGATCGGGCTCGGGGAGAGGCCGCAGAAAGATGGCTGCCGTACTGCTGTGGTCGTGATGTTCCCGATGTTGCGTTCTTATTCCGCGGCGTCGCATCTCAGGGATACACCACCATGGACCATGCCTGGTCAGGATCAAGCCGTTCCTGGCGTCGGCCAGGAGTGCATACATACCATGCCAGGGCCCAGGATGTTCTTGGCCAGACAAGTTGGTGGCGGTGCAGTTACTAGCGTCATGGATTGCAGGGAGGGGGGTCCTGGAGGAAGGGGTCCTGAAGGTTCGGAGAATTGCTGAGGACAAAGGGTAAACATAGTAATAGTAATAGTAATGATGTTTCTAATTCCAATCCGAGTCGCAAGAAAACCAAAAATAATAGGATTAGCATTATTAATACTATTAGTAACATTCACTCCAAAGAGATAGGAGGACAGGAGGAGGACGAGAGGAGCACGGCAGCAGGACAGGAGGAGAACGGGAGGAGACACATCAGGCAAGCGCAAGCAAGCAAGCGGAAGCAAGCAAGCGCAAGCGAGCAAAAACAAGCAAGCAAGAGCCATCGATCAAGTGAAAGCAAGCAAGCAAGGGCAAGCAAGAGCAAGCAAGCGAGAGCAAGCACGCAAGAGCAAGCAAGCAAGTGCCATTGGAAAAAGGGGGGCGTCATTGGAAAAAGAGGGGGCCATTGGAAAAGGGGGGGGGGGCTAAAGACCAAGTGCTTATGATGAGCTAGGACTCGATTCCTCTAGGGCAAGCCTATTTGGAGAATAGGATCGCTCAGATGTGGTGCATAGGCATAGGCGCAGGCATAGGAGTTAGGGGGGTGCATCGGCATAGGCATAGGCATAGGCATAGCCAAAGGAATTGGGGGGGCATAGGAGTTAGGGGTGGGGCAACGGACCAATCAGTAGAGATTGAGTCAGAAATCCTACAGGGCAACCCTATTTGGAGTACAAGCATAATAGTAACGTAATTTTTATCATAGTAATACTAGAAATACTAATAATAAGAATCACAGTAAGAATGCAAACAACAAAAAAGCTACGAACACTACCAATATAACTAGTACTGTTAATACGAATAATACGAATAATAATAACACTAATACTAGTAATGATAGTAGTGATAGGATACCGACGAGAAGGACAGCACCAGGATAATGAAGATGATTTCGTAAGATGCGGGGAGCGAAGAGGATTGATATTAGAAGATAGAGGAGGAGGAGGCGGACGAGGAGGAGGAGGAGGCGGAAGAGGAGGAGGAAGAGGAGGAGGAGGAGGAGCAGAAGGAGGAGGAGGAGGGAGAGGCAGAGGAGTGGGAGAAGGAAAAGGACGTGGAGGAGGAGGAAGAGGACCAGCACGCATGCTGAAAGAAGAGTGTCTGCCGTCTTGGCGCCCGGCGCCCTTGCACGAGGAGGAAGAGGGAGGAGCGACCTCAAAATTCGAAGAACAACCCGACGAAGTAGCCAACGCGACAGACGGAACTGCCAGGTCACAAGCCCAGAAGAGCATGCCGAAGGAGTTGAGGAAGGTGGTTTGCTGCCCCACGTGGCGACCTTCTCCCTTGCAAATACTTGAGCCTTGCAGTTCAGCGTTACGACCTCCGTGGAAACGAAGTTGCTGAAGAACATCTGCCCATCTATTTGAGGGCTGGAATTCAAGCTTCGAGCGAGGCCTGCACTTGTCCTCCAGCTTGTATTTCAAGCTGGTGGCGCACGCTTTTCCTCCTTCATTCAATTCAAGCCAGACGGCATCACGGTCCTCCGCGACGAAGCCAGCGCCAAGAAACGAGCCCCTCCTCCATGGCGCCCGAGCCCGTACGCTCGGCCAGGAGGCCACAAGGGAAATTGTTTTGGAAACATATTGGCCCAAGTGGTGAGGTATCCCACTTGAGCCATAATGGCTACGGGGGAGGAGGAAGAGGAGGAGGAGGAGGAGGAGGAGGAGGAGGAGGGGAAGGAGGACCAGGATGAGGAGAAGGAGGAGGAGGAGGAGGAGGAGGACTAGTGAAACCCAAGAGTCATCAGCGATGTCGGAATCAACCCTCCCTCCAAGCTCCCTCTTCAAAGGCCCCTACGACGGTTCCTTTCCATTTGGGTCATTGCCTCGTTGGAAGACAACTGTTTGAAGACCTTGAAGCATACCAAAACGTTGTTCTCGGGACTCCGACGCCACGGATCAACCTGACTGTTGTGTCTTGACGATCCTGAATCGTGGCAGAATGCCACTCCTGGTTTCAACACAGCGAATCAACGTAACTGTTGCGCCCGCATAATCCTGAACCCTTTCAAAACAAACTTCTAGCACGTTGGCGATGGGAATCCGCGGAACTCTTGCAAGTATTGTTAAAGAATGTGCACGGCGCTAAGGCGAGGGCCACATTTTGAAAAAGGAACCGCCCTCAGTCCGTGAAATTCTTGCCATGAGCACAAGCGAAGGTGCGCCGCGCTAAGGCGAGAGCCACATTTTGAAAACGGGTCGCCCTCAATCCATTCAACTCTTGCAAATGTTCAAATCGAATGTGCGCCGCGCTAGGGCGATAACCACATTTTGAAAACGGGTCGCCTTCAATCCGTGGAACTCATGCAATTGGTTAAAACGAAGGTGCGACGTGCTAAGGCGAAAGCCACTCTTTGGAAACGACCCGCCCTCAATCCGCGAAATGCTTGCACATATTTAAAACAAATGTGCTCCGTGCTAAGGCGAGAACCACATGTTGAAAACGACCCGCCTTCCATCTGTGCAACTGTTGCAAATTTTAAGCTTCAGGGTCAAAGATGGTGAGACAGTCTCAGGCGGAACGCCCAGTCCGTCCTAAAACCTGGCTTCGGGGTGCGAAAGAGAGAATAAGTCATTTGTAAGAAAATTGAATGGAAGATGGGCAGGAGGAGGAGGAGGAGGAGGAGGAGGAGGCGGAAGAGGAGGAGGAGGAGGAGCAGGAGCAGGAGCAGGAGGAGGAGGAAGGAGTAGGAGGAGGAGGAGTAGGAGGAGGAGGAGGAGGAAGAGAGAATGGGGGGAGGAGGAGAAGGTGGAGAGGTTGGGAGGTGTAGCGGAAGGGGGGGGGCGAGTGCGAGAAGGAAATTACGTGGATGCCGGGGAAGAGGGCGACGACGACAATCACAAAAAGCTCGACGATGACTCCGAAGGCGCAGGCGGATCAGAAACAGGAGAACGCACGAACACACTTAGGAGCCACCTTGGCTCAAAAAGGGCTGTCTGGGGATACTGGGCTCTGGCTATAACTTTCAGCTTTCGGCTTCCAGGGGCCCTCGCCGGACCCTGGAGAGACTTGTCGAAAGATTATTCTGGATGAAATGCAGACCCCGGGGAAAGGATCGCGGAACTTCTCTGGGTAAGAGACCCTTCGCCAAAGAGGCTTTTTGCCGCGTGGTTCCCAGGGGGGGGGGACCAGCCCCACGCGCGCGCGGGCAGGCCGCCACTGCTGCATCGCATGCAGCGATGGGCAAGCCGCGCACGGGCGACGCCTTCTTGGTGTCGGCGCTCGCGCGCGCCGGGCCGATTTGGTGGGAGCGCCCCCGCAGGCGGGGCTCCGCCCCCGCCGCCGCCGCCGCGCCCAGGGGCCAGCGGCGCGCCCAGCGACGCCGACACGATGGCCATGCTGCAGCAGGTGCTCGGCGGCGCGCCCGGGAGCGCCCCAGGCGGCGCCGGCCAGGACCCCTTCGCGGCCCTCCTCGGCGGCGCCGGGGCGGGGCGGGCGGGCGGCGGCGCCCAGGACCCCTTCGCGGCCCTGCTCGGCGGCGCCGGCGGGGCGGGCCAGGCGGGCGGCGGCGGCGCCCAGGACCCCCTCGCGGCCCTGCTCGGCGGCGCTGGGGCGGGGCAGGCGGGCGGCATGCCAGGGTTGGGCGGCATGCCGGGCCTGGGCGGCATGGGCATGCCAGGCGCGGGTGGTGCCAGTCGGGGGTCCTGGGGCCGCCTGGTGGCAGACCTGCCTGGTGGCACGCTCAATCTCACCAGAACGTCTGCCACGGGATTGCTTCACAGCCACCTCGGCCCCCAGAGCTCGACGCGTCTCTGGAGACCGGCCCGTGTCTCAGAGCCGCCCCCTGCGAGGACCGCGCGGAGTGGCGAGCGGCACCGGATGTGAGTCCCAGAAGCGCAACGGTATGCCTGCTCAGTCGGGGGGCATCCGAGAGGGGGGTAATGACTATCGGGACGACCGACATGGGTACGGAAAGAATGGGTACAACGACGAACAGCAGTTCTTGTTCATTTTGAACCGGATTCGCTGTTGGCGTCGCCGCGGATTGTGTCCGTTTGAGACAGAAGGCCGCCTGCCAAACAGCGGCCGCTGTTGGTTCGGGACAACATTTGCTGTTGGGCATTGTGCCCATTGTTTCCGTGCCCATTTCGGGCGTCCAAAGACTAGAAGTGTGCGGATGTGGGTGTCATGTTCACGACCATGACGTCTCCCAGAAGTCGTTGCCTCTTGCTCTTCCAACACGTCCCCTGGCCCCTACTCGTCCGCGCGCATGCCTCGGGCCATGATGCGTCAACCCCTCTCGTCCTAAGGCCCCCTCTGGCGCACCAGCTGTAGCAAACTCAGCGGTCGAATCCATGGACAAGATTGGCCTCAGCCCCAACCGGCAGTTCAGGCAGGGGCGTGTCCAGGGGGGGGTCAGTTTCGAGAGGGGCTCGGGTACAGACTGGACGCGGGCCACGTGTCATTACTGGCCGTTGAGGCGCGAGACGCGTCGCGCTGTGCCCAGGAACTCGTTGAGGTGCGATCGTGCACGGAACCTCCCGGCGTTGTGTCGACGACGCGTTGGCCACGCGGCGACGTTGCTGGGCCATAGCCAGGAAGTTGGGCACATGGACGGCCTATGCGAGAGCTGGGCGCGCGCGTGTGTGGCAACACATGCTTCCAGCGCTTGGCCCTCACGTGGCCAGGCACGAACGCTCTCCGCACGTGTATCCGGCGCACTGCCTCCCGATGCTCCGCACATGGATCCAGCCATGTTTGTTTCCAGCCCCCCGGCATCGGCGATGCATCGACGGCGCGTTTGCGACGCGACGACGCTGCCGAGCCATTGCGCTCCTCTGCCTTGTCGCCCCGTGGAGCCTCCTCAGGCATGTCGGGCGCGGGCGGCAAGAGGGCCACCGACGCCTTCATCACCGACCGCCTGCCCCTCCTGCAGAAGGTGAAGCGCCCCGTGATGGCGTTCTTCTTCGGCTCACATGGGGGAAACCACACCTCCTCCTCATCTTCCCCCTCCTCCTCCTCCTCCCTCCTCCTTCTCCTCCTCCTCCTCATCCTCCTCCTCCACCTCCACCTCCAGCTCCGTCTCCTCCTCCTCCTCCTCCTCCTCCTCCTCCTCCTCCTCCTCCTCCTTCTCCTCTTCCTGCTCCTCCTCCTCCTCCTCCTCCTCCTCCCTCCTCCTCCTCCTCCTCCTCCTCCTCCTCCTCCCCCTCCATCTCAATACGGCTGCACCACGGACCTCTCCAAGGGTGCGTTCTGGCCAGAACTCCGGGCCGCATCCAGCCTTGACGACGAGCGGGCTCCCGGGAGGCCCGAGCAGGCGAAAGCGGCGGAGTGGCGTCAGTGTCTTCTTATGTTTGCCCACACCCTCACGGACCGCTCAAAAGCAGTCCCCAGATCTCTCCTGCGGCCCACGCTGGCCAGATCTGGCCAGTTTGTCGAGCTGCGCCCAGCTGTGGTGACGGGAATCTCCACGAAAACGCACAACACAAACTGGAGCACACATTTCCGAGGTAAGGTTGCACCCACCTGCGGAGTCACGATATGTGCCGAGATGGATGCGGTGCCGCCGTGCGACCGCTGGAATTTGGATCTTCGGTGGAGCTCCCTGTGGGTGCACGACACGCGTGAGGCGTTGGCCGGAATGGTCGACGGCCAGAGGGCAGAGGCAGGGAGGGGGCGAGGGAGGGAGAGGACAGCGGGAGGGAGCGGAGCGCGCCGCCGCGGATTCAAAACGAGGACCCACACCAACACAAAAAAACAATAAAAAAGCAAAAAAAAAAAAAAAAAAAAACATCCTGCTCGAGCATCTGCGAGGTAGTTGTTGCACTCTCCGCAGGCTACTGCTTCTGGCGGGGCTGGGTCGGAAGAGCCGGCCTCGCGCAGGGGCTCTTCGCCAGCTCGTACCTGGACATGCTGGCCGTGCCGCTCCGGGTGCTCCCGGACAGCCCGCTGCACGGGCGGGCCTACTTCTACGCGTCGTACTGGGTCGACTCCGGCGCGCGGCTGACCCGGTTCCTGTGGAACTGCGCGCGGGGCAAGGCTCCTGGCTTTTTCCGCTCTGGGCGGCAAACTGCAACAGAAGGATTTGATGCAGCGTTCGGCTCTGGGAGCCATCAGGAGGCCACGGGGCCGTTAAACAGCTAATCAGGATGGAAAGCTGGTCCAGGGGAAGTTGTCTCCACCTCCAGTTGGCCACGGTGCGAACTGATCACGGCGTCGGAGGTCTGGGCTCGTAGAGCGGCGCCACGACGTTGTTCGAGGTGTCCAGGCGGCGTCTGGAGGTTCTCGCGGCCATGGCAGGGCGCAGTTTGAAAGGTTGGCCAGGATGGATTTTGGGAGGGGTCTGAGTCTGGGAATCAAATTTGAGCAAATATGCGGCGATCCCCTCGCGTCGTGACAAAATATCTGGCGCAGGGAACTCCTCTGCGCATTAATTTCCTATCATGATCTTCTCTGAGAGCCCGAGTAGAAGTGAGTGAGAGTGTGAATGGTTTGGGTACGAGCGGCAGAGTATAAGGGAGTCTGCGTATGAGCGAGTGGAATGGAAGGGCTGTGTGTGAGCACGTGTGGCCGAATGAAGAGGTTTGCGCGGGCTTGGTGTGACTGGATCAGAGTATGAGTAAGTCTTGAAGTTCGTGAGGGGCTTCTGTAATTTGGTAGTCGGGGATGCCCCCGCAATCTGGAGACGAACGGGCCTGTGTCAGACCCCTGGCGGCTCCCCACCGAGTGGCTCAAATGCTATGCCTGCTCATTGTGGTGATCATGGGGCTATGCAGCGAGGGAGAGAGACAAAGAGAGAGAGAGAGAGACGGAAACATAAAGAGAGATGATCTTCTATTTGGCCAGCATAAGCATTTCGCTGTAGAAGTCCTCACAACCTGAGGGCGAACGGGCAATTTTCATACCCGCTGGCGGATGACGGGAAGCGTCTTCGAGGTACGAGAAGCAAGCGGGACGTTCTGGCTGAATCCTTGAGTAAATATATATATATATATATATATATCTTTAACTATATGGGTTGCCGCGCTGCACGGGATCATTCGTTGGCGGATGACGGGAAGCGTCTTCGAGGTACGAGAAGCAAGCGGGACGTTCTGGCTGAATCCTTGAGTAAATATATATATATATATATATATATATATCTTTATATCTATGGGTTGCCGGCTGCACGGGATTTCGTTGGCGGATGACGGGAAGCGTCTTCGAGGTACGAGAAGCAAGCGGGACGTTCTGGCTGAATCCTTGAGTATATATATATATATATATATATCTTTATATCTATGGGTTGCGGGGCTGCACGGGGGTTTTCGTTGGCGGATGACGGGAAGCGTCTTCGAGGTACGAGAAGCAAGCGGGACGTTCTGGCTGAATCCTAGATATATATATATATTTAGGCTACGGGGTTTTTCGTTGGCGGATGACGGGAAGCGTCTTCGAGGTACGAGAAGCAAGCGGGACGTTCTGGCTGAATCTTGAGTATATATATATATATATATATATATCTTTATATCTATGGGTTGCGGGGCTGCACGGGGTTTTCGTTGGCGGATGACGGGAAGCGTCTTCGAGGTACGAGAAGCAAGCGGGACGTTCTGGCTGAATCCTTGAGTAAATATATATATATATATATATATATCTTTATATCTATGGGTTGCGCGCCGCACGGGAGTTTTCGTTGGCGGATGACGGGAAGCGTCTTCGAGGTACGAGAAGCAAGCGGGACGTTCTGGCTGAATCCTTGAGTAAATATATATATATATATATCTATATATATATATATATCTATGGGTTGCGCGATTGCACGGGGGTTTTCATTGGCGGATGACGGGAAGCGTCTTCGAGGTACGAGAAGCAAGCGGGACGTTCTGGCTGAATCCTTGAGTATATATATATATATATATATATATATCTTTATATCTATGGGTTGCGCCATCGCACGGGGGAATTCGTTGGCGGATTTCCCAAAATGGCCATTTCGCTCGAGACATCCTCGAAAAATCGAGGTGTTGGAGGCTATCGTTTAAGACGTCTTATGTCAAAAATGACGGTTTCGCTCGAGACATCCTCAAACAATCAGGATGTTGAAAAATATCAAAAATTTCTGTTATGCATGAAAAATGAGCGTTTCGCTCGAGACATCCTCGGAAAAATGAGATGCCGACAGAGGTGTTTTAGAACCTCTTATGTCAAAAATGACGTTTTCGCTCGGGACGTCCTCAGAAAATGAGCAGGTGGTCTGCCGTGCTCCCGTGTGGAGCACGGCAGACCACGGCCATTTCGCTCGAGACATCCTCAAAAAATCGAGGTGTGGTCTGCCGTGTTCCTGTGTGGTCTGCCTTGCTCCTGTGGTTTGCCGTGCTCCTCACAGGAGCACGGCAGACCGCGCGTAGGAACCGAGAGGAGCACGGCAGACCAAGACGAGGAGCACGGCAGACCAGGCTTAGGAACCGAGAGGAGCACGGCAGACCAAGACGAGGAGCACGGCAGACCAGGCACCAAGAGCGCCCTCAAGACGACGGAAAGGATGACCAAGACGAGGAGCACGGCAGACCAAGACGAGGAGCACGGCAGACTATGCCCTAAGAGTGCCCTCAAGACGGCCGAACAACGGCAGACCCCATAGGATCACGGCAGACCACAGAAGAGCACGGCAGACCAACAGGAGCACGGCAGACCACACAAGAGCACGGGTCCGTAGCCATTTTGGCTCAAGGCCATGGCGCACCCGACGACCGCGAGTCCGTCGGGCGTTCTTGAGCGCGAGGGGCGCTCTGCCACGAGCCAGAAGCTTCGCCTGGTTTGTTCTCCTTCGTGCCTGCAGGGCAGAGTGTTTCGGCCGAGCAGCTGTCAGTCCCTCGGTGTGCCGCCATGTCGGAGGTTGCCTCGGGGCTGGCTAGGCGGGCGTACTGGTTGTGTGCTAAGCGTGGCTGTAACGCTTGGAACTGGTGTGACAAGCGGTGGACGTGCAAGGCGTGCGGCACCAGTGCTCCCCCTTGGGCGAAGGAGTACCGCTCCGACAAGGCCCCCCCGCGGGTGGACGCAGACGGGTTCGTGCAGCAGCCCAGGGGAAGGGCTGAGCAGCGCGCGGCGAGGCGCTCGGCCTCCCAGCGGGCCCTCTCGGGGAGCACCGCGCCCAGCAGCGCCCCCAACAGCAGGGCACGGCGAGCGCGGCCCTGGGGTGAGGCCAAGTCCCAGATCGAGGAGCTGCAGGCGCAGCTCGTGGCGGCCAGGGAGCGCGTCGACACGCTCCAGGGGGCCTCGGCGCTCGGGCTCTCAGTGGACTTCCAGCGTGAGGCGGAGAATGCCCTCCAGCAGGGCAAGGACCAGGTCGCCGCCCTGGAGCGGTCCGTCCAGGAGGCCCAGCGGACTGAGCGCCCGCCTCACTCGGTGCTCCACATTGAGGCCAACGCCATTCAGAAGGTCGAACGCCAGCTGGCCACGGCTCGCACCAAGAGGGAGAAGCTCCAGCTGCAGGCGTCCGAGCTGCGCGAGCTCATCGCGGAGAAGCAGGAGCAGCTGTCGGCAGCCGAGTTGGGAGTTGATGAAGTCACTGGGCAGATTGCTGAGCTGGAAGAGACCAGGGCCAAGGTCACGCAGCAGGCGATCCAGCGGGCCAACGCAGCTGTCGGAGGCGTGCCGAGCCCGCTTGGGGACGCCGTCCAGGGGTTGCTCACTCAAGTCGGCGCCCTTTCGGATCTCCTCAAGCAGCACGGAGCCGAGCTGCCTCCCAGGTTTTCCGAGATCGTCGAGATTCTCAACACGCAGAAGGAGGCGGTCGCTGACGTGCTCAGGCCCCGCAGCAGCTCGGTCAGGAAGCGCTGGGGCGACAGCGTCGGTGACGACGGCCTCGCGACCGAGGATGACGACATGCCGCTCGACATCGTGGCCTCTGGGGGGCCTGCGGCCGCCCCTCCCGCCGCCGCCTTGCAGGCAGGGCCGACCGCGGCTGGGCCGCCAGCCACGCGGGCCAGGCCAGCGGACGGACCCTACGGCCCTGCAGCGGCCCGCGGCCAGCACGGGGCGACCCTGGGCGCGTGGCCTCAGGTGGAGCCATGCCTCGCAAAGGCCCTCGCCGAGCAAGGGGCGGCCCTCTCGGACGGCGACCCCTTGGTGGCTGCGGCTGCTGTCGTTGCTCCTGCTGCTGGGTACGGGCCGCGCCGTGGGTGATGCGGGAGCGCTGGAGTGGTCAGCTTCCACAGTCGGCCTCGACGTCGGGGACAGCGGGACGCCTTCCCCTCGGGATGTGCGCGGGCCCAGCTGCTGGGACAGGTGGAGGAGGCGCTGCGATGGCCGCTGGCGCGTCCGCGCCCCTCGCAGGCGGCGGGCGGCGCCGAGCGCCCTTGCCCGAGGTAGCCAGCTGGCGCGGTCGGGAACACCGAGGTGGCCCCCCGACGGCCAGTCAGGGGCCGAGAGCGGTGGGATTCAGCCCCACGTCGTCGCAGCTCTCGGCCCCGTTGGTGATGGGCAGGCGCACCCCCCGCTGGCAACCGGAGGGGCGGAGGGACGGCCACCTCCTCAGCGACGGCCACCTCCCGTTCTGGCGAGCGGCCCGCCGACGCCGATGAGGAGCGCCGGAGCGAGGGGCCAGGACCCCCCTCCAGTCCTGGTGGGGGCGGAGGGTCCCGCGACCAGGGGCACAGCGGGCCCTGTGTCTGGCGCTGGTGGGCGCGCCGCTCGCGAGGCAGCCGTCATCGGCAAGGCGCCGCTGGTCGGCAGCGCAGGAGGCCAGCAGCTTCGAGCTGGCCTAGTCATGTTCGGCTGCAATGGCAACACTTGGAGCAGGAGCATTGAAGCCATCGAGGCCTTCTTCAAGGCGCACGACTACTGGCCCGACGTAGTGGCGCTGCAGGAGACGAGGCTCCCGCATGAGCGCCTGCCCAGCGCGGCGGCTCAGGCCCGCGGCCTGGGTTACGCGGCCTTCCTCCACGAGGCGGCGCTGACGGAGAAGCAGGGGCCCCAGGCGACCTCAGGCGGCGTGGCGATTCTGGTGCGAGACGGCTTGCAGGCCGACGAGTCGGCGTACCCGTTGCCCTCGGCCT